CGTCTGTGTTGACGAAGAAGCCAAAGAGGTTCGAGATCAAGAAGTGGAACGCTGTCGCCCTCTGGGCTTGGGGTAAGCCTCCGATTCCTCTCTACAAACCCTAGGTCTAGGGCTAGGGGTTTGATTCACGGATCTGATACCGATCTGATCTTTTGTTTTTGGTTTTTTGTTTTTTGCAGATATCGTGGTGGACAACTGCGCTATTTGCAGGAACCACATCATGGATCTCTGTGAGTTTAGCGGTGTTGCAACTATGTTTTGTTAGGGTTAGGGTTTTGTTTTAGATTTTGATGGTGGTTTTTGGGGATAATGGCAGGCATCGAGTGTCAGGCGAATCAGGCGAGTGCCACGAGTGAGGAGTGCACCGTGGCCTGGGGTATGCTTCAAATCTTGATAAGCAATTTAGTTATTTTGTTGGGGTTTTGTCATATAAGAGCATCTCCAACCAAAAAACCCAAAATTGTGTAGTTTTTACATCAAATCACTATTCCATCTCCAACCCATTTACACCAAATTTTACACCAAAAAAAATATTTCTTTTATTATTTCTTATCTTTTAACATTTTTATCTACTAGTTGAGATGCACGTGCAATACACGTGGTTGAATATCATGATTATTTAAATTGATAAAAATAGAATAAAAATAAAAAAACAAAGGTTTTTGTGGGTTTGATCAACTCAATAATCTCTCTCAAATAAAATATTGTCATTGTTTTCTTCAACACAGACTGTGACCACGTGATCTACTATTTGTGAGTTATAAACATATTGATCTAGTACAACATCTTTTTTTGTTATCATCTTGAAGTCTTCAAAAGATGGGTAATCATTCAATTCGCAAATGAATTTTGCATATGAATTTATTTGCAACATATCCATTAAACTTTTACTAGTGGTCATATTCATATTAACTTTTAGTTTTGGTTTCACTCATATTTATATTTTCTAATGTTCTCATTTAATTTTATAGCTCATTCTTCGTATCATAGAAGTAAAACTGAAAGTATAAAAAAAATATTTTCTTGCGAAATTAGAGCAGGAAGATTATAATATATTGTGTCATGTGCTCTAAATATAAAAAATATTTTTTCTTTGATGCAAGGTCCCTATCTAATCTTGCCCCGATCAATGTGAATAAAAAATGCTATCATAATTTACTTGCCTAGGAAAATTTTATTGTATATATGAATATATCTAGAATATCCATATTTGTTAAATGGATTTTGCTGTTGTGAGAGCAAAATGTTAGAGGCTCATATTCAAACTTTTTGGCTTTATAAAAGACACAAGAATTTGGAGTGCATAGCTTATATATCGTAAAGAACATACTGGTTCATGAAGAATTTTTTCTAATAATGATATTATTACAATGATGTTACTATTTAGTAGTAAATCAATTTTATCATATAAGATTATATGACCCTTTTTAATAAATTATAAAGTATATATATAAAACTTTGATACTTATAGCTAGTAGTTAGGCTTCACAAAATAAGTTAACTTTATATTATAGTTTGCTATTGTTAGTATTGTTGGCAATGTCATTACATTCTCTTTATCTTATTATTCATGCTTTTCTAATGTGAGTTCTCTTTTGCTAATCACTCAATTTGATATAATTAATTTTTATAATATCAGATGTTAGAATATTCTCTTCTGTTTAAAAAGTGTTGATATGATTTTTTTTTAAAAATATATACACATAGTAGCAATAGTATATACTTTAGTTCAACTCAAACATTAGCTTAGAGTCAATTAGAGTAAGGTTCTTTCTACGCTAGGATGGTGACACATAGTGATTACATAATCCAAAAGTCAAAGTAGAAATTTCTGTAAGGAAAAATAATTTAAAATGTCAAATTAATAACTAATTTATAAAATATACATGAGCAATACATATAGCTATAGAAAGTAAGACATATATCTTTATGAAAATTTCATAGTGAGTGACTAACTACAATCATCTTAATTTAATCGTAAATAATTATTATTTTAGTTATTAATTTGATACGCATAACTATGGAATAAATCTCATGTAAAAATAGGAATTGAGATTGTATTATCCTGTAGGAAAATAAATAAATATTATTAGAGCTCCTCTTTAAATTAAATTTAAAAGTAATAATTTAAATTATTAAGCACCAAATATTATTTCATGTGAGAAGTAAAAATAATTATAGTCTATATACCTATATAGTTAATCAATCAAACATATTAATATTATGATGACAATAGTCAAAATTATATGGTGAGTTCACATTAAATATAATTTATAAAAAATAGTACATTAAAGTAAAACTTTTTAACCACTATATAGATTGTCTAAAAAATTTTGCATGTACAAACTATCTTTCCTAGAAATAGTGATGTGCATACTTAATTATGGCCTAATACATCTTGAGAACGATTTACTCTTCAATATCATCATTAATTAACATATCTATGTATTACAGTAAAAACACAATAAAAATTTAGAAAATTATAAAAGAAACCCTAAAAAAATTTAAAATTATAAAAACCCCCCTAAAATTTTATAATTTACAAATATACAAAACTATTAAACATTACATTGAAATCAAGGAATTACAAAAAAACCATTAAAAATTTTCAAATTTTAGAGGGGTAATTTGAAATACTAAACTTTAAGGGTATTTTTTATACATTTCAAATTTAATAGATTTTTAATTAGTTATGTTCTTTTTAAAAAAGTTACGGGTAATATTGACCATGAAAGTTTTCTTCCTAAACCTATACTTTTAAAGGGAGTATGATATGTTTTGCAAATTTTTAATTTTTTAGGGGGGTTAGTAATTTTGTATATTCATTTTAGTATCTATAAGTTAGAAATTCTCATGATTTTTTTGTAAATTAATAATTTAGTCATTTTTTATAACTTTTAAACTTATAGGCCTTTTCTATATATTGTAAATTATTTATAGAATATTTATAATCTTTATGTTTTCAATTTACTAATGAGTTTGAAATTCTCAAGGTGTTTTTTAAAATTTGAATTTTGAGTGTTTGTTTGTAATTTTTGAAACTTTAAGAGCATTTTCTATAAATTATAAATTATATAGGGGATATTTGTAATTTCTATATTTTTAATGTACTTTTAGGTTAAAAATTATCAGGATTTTATTAAATTTTATAATTTTAAGGGTTTTACTTTGCAATTTATAAAAAGTTCAGAGTGCTTATTATAAATTCCATAAATTTTCGGGTGTTGTTTATAGGTATTAGTGTGTTTATAGGTTTGAAATTTTCAAGGTGTTTTTTATATTTTTTGAATTTTTAGGGGTGTTTTTTTAGTTTCCAAAACTTATAAGATATTTTCTCCAAAGTCAAAAAACTTACAATTCTAGCTAGCATATGTTTTTTTAGATTTCTCATTGAATTGAAATAAGTAAAATTTATAATTTTTAAGATATTTTAATAAAATTTTGAATTTGTAAGGTTGTTTTTACAATTTAAAAAACTTGGAGGATATTTTTTACAAAGTCCAAAAACTTGAGCTGGCTAGCATATGTTCTATCTCCTTGGGAGATAGTGGGTCTTCCCCTACTCATCACCAATAGCTGGAGACAAGAGATTCATATGAGAAAACATAAGTAAACGGGCCTCCGCTTGAGCTTCCAAAGATAAAGGTACATGAACAGCCATTTGGTCCTTTACATTTATCTGCAAACTGAAATAAGTAAATGATTTGAATTATATCAAACGTATCTCCTTTATCCAATAACATGTTAAGTCTCATTATGAATAGGATAAATCATTTAATTACCAATTCAAAGAAGATATGATAATTAGAATAAATTAGGATAACAATGTAATATTCAAAAAAAATAAGGGTAATATTGACCATGGAAAGATTTTTCCGAACTCGTACTTTTAAAAGGAGTATGATTTAAAATATTTAACAAATTATATAATTATGAAATTTTAAGTGTAAGTTTTTCTTATCTAAATGTAAGTTTTTCTTATTTCTTCATTTGGTTCTAGTGTTATGAAATTTTAAATGTTTGGATTAAATTATCCTTTTTTCTTTTTGAATTTTATTTTAATAATTATTTTATACTCTAATCTCATTAGAATAGTTAATATAAAATAATATATATTATTAATACAAATATAAAAAACAAAAGCAAAAAAAATAAAAGAACTAAATAGAACAAAATGTGAATATGATGGATAAAATTGGGATATGGTTGGAATATTTGATTTGTTATAATAAATTTTAAGGGCAAATTTGGGGAAAAAACTCCATATCTATAGTGTTGCGTCATTCCTAGCGCAACACTGTAACATTAAAATAGCGCTAACTTTGCCGCTCGGTTGGAGGAAGGTTTGGCGAAAGATTTGCGTCAATTTGGGATTTTGGCGTTGGGTTGGAGATGCTCTAAGAACCCTCAATTACTTTTTTATTTTTTTTATTAGGCACCTGAATCTTTATATTTCTAATTTACACTCCTACTCTATAAGCTGTTTTGAATAACAGTAAAAAGTTAACTGTAGCGCGTGTTAGTTAAAACAACTCAATAGATTTATGGGGTTAAGATTTGGGGCTTAAAGACAAATTTAAGAAAGAATAGAGCGATATAATAGATGGTTTGCGCGAGTGGATGTTGATTTTTGAACCTGAAAAATTGCTAATCAATGAATTATAAACTTAAGCTAGTATAATTGTGATGACTGTGGTGTTAATAAGCCCTTAGTTAATTGTCTAGTTTACACTTAAGATGGTAGTGAAAGATTCCGGAACTCGTTCTTATTTTTTGAATTGATCAGGTTTAATTTAGTTTGAGTAAAGTAGTTATAATAATTAATTTCCTGTTTCTTGTTGGTGGCCTAGTTTAAGTTAATGGTTTGACATGTTAGGGAAGTATGTTCTATTTGAGATTATAAAGAAAACAGTCTTATGCCAGATTCTAGGGGACAATCTCTACTTTGGAATCTGCTTGTTTGAATCTATTCTCTTTGTACGTTTGTCTTATCTTTGTAAGTAGTATTCCTTTGGTGTAGGCCCCTCATGATGTTTCATGAGCATGTAGTTTAGTAAGGAATAGAACACGTTTAAAGTGATGCTGTTCCAACCCGACTCCAGATTTCACTTTTATTAATCACAAGCGTCGGGTCTTTTGCAAATCATGCTTGAACTTTGGGTCCTGTTTTTATGCCTTGCTTTACAGAAGATCCAAACAAAGGTGAAACTACAACTATGTAAACTTCAAACCTGAATGTGAAAACTATGAGAAAATAGAAAACTGTGTCTGGTATGTATTACAGTGTAGTATACGGAAATTTGTATTGTTTGCTCGTATGCTGACTTCTCTAAAGAAGTCAATCAATTGCTTATTCATTTATAATGAGGATTTGGTGTCAGAAAATTTAAATATACCAAAAAGTGAATGTAAGGTGAGTAGTTCATAACTTGATTCCAGTTTTTCATACCTTCATAATATGGCTCTACAAATTTGGTGGATGCTAAGCTTCTCTATCAAACATAATCTCTCCAAAAATGAAAGAGGGGTTTTATCTTACTGTTTCTTCCTTTCTGAAAGTGTAACATCTGAAGGCCAAGTTTACGTTGCAAAGCCTATCATTGTTTTCTAAGTGTTTTTTTTCATTTGTTTATTCTATACTATCTTCCCGATCTTCATTTGTTGTTTCTGGATTCGCTTTTTAATTTAGGCATGATGTGGTTGCATACGGAACATGCCTTAGCTATGTAAAATGTATGAGATGGTTGCAGGAAGTATCACTAAGGCATATGAGGGCATCTTGTAATTAGTTGCAGTTGTCAAATCACAAAGAAATATCCTAGCTTCATCTAGATGTCGAGCCTAATTCTAAATCATGCTAACATGAACACTGATATATTTGCCATGGCCGTCGTCGTATTGAGAGCAAACTTGACTTCTGTAAAATGTATTAGAATGGTTGGAGTGACCTTATAGTGAACACTGATATATTTGCCATGGCTGTCGTAGTATTGAGAGCAAACTTGACTTCTGCAAAATGTATTAGAATGGTTGGAGTGACCTTATAGTGAACATATGCCTGCAACTAATGGCAATATTGAACAAGATAAATAATTATAAATGGTTTTTGTTGGAACATTACTCTAGCTATATAAAATGTATTGAGATGGTGGAGGATGCCTCATTAAAATGTATGATTGCATGTGAGGGTATTTGTGCCTTAATTGTGGTTGTCAAATTAGAAAAATATTCAAGATTCATCTAGATGTTGATTTTAAATGTGAAATCATAACAATCAATGAAATTTCATGTCATCATGGTAGTATTAAGAACAAGCTTGAGCTGAGTAAAAGGGGTTAGGATGAGCTTATATTGGACATATGATTGCAATAATAGCAATATTTAAGAAGATACATTACGATTCTCACATGCCCTTAACGCCATTATGTCTCTTTTTAAGTCCTTTCTGGAGTACCACGCAACTACCATGAATGTGAAAAACTGAATTATGTGGTTCATGATATGTTCATGGGAGCCCCCTTTTTTTCTAGGTGATGTACCTTACATCTGCCTGCCTACCATATAGATATACTATTATTTATGCAAGTATATTTTCTCTTATGCTAGATAGCATAGGTCTGGTACTTTTGACCATTATTGTTTGACTCTCATGTAGGCCTATCAACTATAAATCTTTTAGTAAATGATAAAAATGACAATTCTGCTGTGAAGGTGTGTAAAACTAGGGGGAAATGTTACAAAAGTATCCCTGTATCACAAGAGGTGAACCATCAGCATGCATGTTCATCATGGTAGTTGATTTTGGCTTAATGATGTTCATGATAATTCAGAGTCAAATGTATGAATATAATTTCAGTGGATCATTTTAATTTGGGAAAACTGCTAAAGCCTAATGGAAAGTGTAGTTGAATATTAATATAGCTGATTTGTCTCTTTGTGAATGACGATTAGATGTATTGTTTCAAATGCTAAGAAAAACTTTCTGTGCTGCTACCAACAATCTGTAGCTTTAGGAATATTTAACACTTGCATATCCAAATACAAATTACTAACCAGATTTTTGCTAAAATTATTAGGAGGTAATACTTCTTTTCACGATTGTTATTTTTTAGAAATCTGCTAAGTTTTTGCAACTCTATAAAGCTATGCAGTATCCTTGCTATCTTCTTCTCCATTTTTTGGCTAAGCTTGTGTCCCCATTATCTTTCCTGCATGCACTTTGCGAAAATAATAATAATAATCCTATTACATATGTAACATACGTGGAAGTTGTGGTCCTGTGCATGTCTACAACTGTCAATGCTTTTAGCCATGACGAGAACTTTTATGATATGTTTATAGGTAGGCTATTACATGGTTTCCTTCAAAAATTCATTGGCATATTTTCCTTGCAGAAAAAATTCCTGTATATTCTAGTAAACTATTTTTTTCAACTGATGGCTCCAAAAATTGAATAACTTTTGCAAACTTGCTTCCTTTGTTCTTCATATGTGGAAGCAGAGATGTGAGGAGTTTACTTTATCACCACATGACTGGTGCATATATGATATATGTACTTTAAAGTACAATGTACAATCTGTTTTGTTTTTAATGACTCCCAAAAATATACGTACCATTACGTGTTTGCATATGGGTACATAAATAGATACATGAGTATGGTTTTGTTGCTCATGCTTCTTGGTCAAATTCAGATCGTGGGTGCTGGCCGGGGGAATTTTTTTGTCATGCATTAATCTTCTTTCCTTAGGGTCAGTATTGAGCCTTTTAGGTTGAAGTATTCCTTTTTAGGCGATTTTGTGCTGCCTGATGTTGTTATGATGCCAGAATACACTTAGTATTTGATGTGTTATCTTAATAATTTGCACACCTAATCTTATGCACACCTATGAAGACTGTATATTTTGGGTAATATAATCTCTTTGCGCTGGTTTCACCCAAGGAGAATTATTATCGCATTAGAAATATAATTAGAATGAAAAAGAGTCAGCACCCTTTGTTTCATAGAAATGCTATTGAATTCATGGTATGATTGTTCGTCCACATCATCCTGGATCAGATCCCATGTAAATGTAATCTAAGATAAAACATTTCTACTCATTTGATTTTAGCTCATTTGTTAGATATTAAAATCAGGTTGTTATACATGATTAACAAATACAAATTACAGCTTTGTCGTTGTGCCTGAATTTTTAGGCAGTTGCCGACATTCTGCTTTGTGTCAGAATACAATGCTCTGCATGAATATGAAGATCATATGTTTGATGGAATGAAATCACGTTATAGGCAAGCTTGATGAACGAGGAACTGAGTTTTTCTTTAATGTTTGTTAGACGTTGCTGTTTACTTGCTGAATGTTTAATTGAATCCAATTTATTGTATGCGAGTTAAATTAATATTTGATTCTGAACTTTTGTACCAGGAGTTTGCAATCACGCCTTCCACTTTCACTGCATCAGTAGGTGGCTCAAGACCAGACAAGTGTGCCCTTTAGGTCAGTAACACATCTAAATCGTTTTTATTTTATGAAGTATTTTTACTCTCCGAATGTTTTCGTATATATTTTTACCGGACCTTTAAACATGCAGACAACAGCGAGTGGGAGTTCCAGAAATATGGCCACTAGATTTTGGAGTTCAAAGCATTTACAATTTCATGCATCTTTCTAGAACTGTATTTGGCCTAAGGAGGGTGGCCTAAGGAGGATTAGAAGTTGTAATTAAATCACTATTACGTGTATGTTCTATTTTGAATCAAGCTATGATGGAACACGAATATGGTAATGTCTGAGAATGAAAGATATCATTTAAATTTTCTGTTGCTTTGACTTCTTTCCAGATTGCTTTGTTTGATCCATGCATCACAATCCCAACGTCATGAGTTCAACATTATTTTGGTCGATGTGCATTGTCGGCTGAAGATGATTTCACCAAGCAAATTGCAGGGAAATTGGTCCTGATTGATAATAAAAAAATGAACGAGGTAGTTCTCTACGGGGGTTAGTCATCTAGAACTTAAAATTAGAACTGGGATAATTTATGGGATAAATTTTTAAGGTGTTAGTCAAATAGAACTAGAAAATGGGATATTTTTTTATAGTGTTAGTCAAGTAGAACTTTTGTAGAACTAGAACTGTATTATTTTTTTGGTGCGTTAGTCAAGTAGAATTCTACTAGAATTAGAATTGGGATAATTGGTCATAATTATCCCACAAATTATACTACCTATATATATAACCATAAGTTTTTCTCTCTTAAATTATCCCACACATTGGAAAGAATACAATTGGGGAAAAAAAGTGAAACGTCACCTCCCTCCCTCTTGGTTAGTTTCTCTGCCTAGAAAATTTCTCTGCCATGAAGTCAATCATCCGTTCATTTTTCTGTCTTTACTTTGTTTTTGTGATGATTAGATCTTCTATTATTATCTTCAAGATGTATTACTTTATTGATAGCTTTTTGACGTTAAATTACTTTATTATTATTTGTTTGATCTAAGTTTTCTCTCCACAACAGTGGTTTAGGTTAAGAATATAGTGTTGGTGGGTTAGTGCTAAAGATATGCGGGCTATTTATGTTTTTTTTATAAGTTAGAAAGCAACTTTGCGATCACATTGATGATTAGATGTTGAATGGTTAATGGTGATATCTATTATTATTAAATCGGCTCAGTAAATTGATTGGGATATTTATAATTCATCTGTCGATCATCTGTTTAGCGGCCATGGATGATTCCTGTGTACATTTTATTTATTTGCTGATTTGGTTTCAGCGATCATGATGAGATTGGTCCAAAGGGTTAATGGCTGAAAAATGCTTATTTTTCTTTCTTTATGATGTTATGAGATTTGAACTTCGACATTTATGATCCTCCACTAGAAGCTCCACGAAATGTTGCTGATGCAGACAATGACTCCGATAAAGAAGACGAGTTACAGACTCAACGAGCAGCTGTAGGAGCTTGGAGAAATTCTATGGCAGATGCCGTGTGGGATGATAGAAGCCATGTGGGATGATGGAAGTCAAGTCACTCTAGGGATTTAGATTTTTATTTATTTGTAAATTATTTTATTATTTGAGATGAATAGTGATGCTTTATTGTATTATATTTTATAGTTATTACTAGAATTTGCTTATCAATATTATATTATTTTTAATATACAATTATTAACAATAGTAATTTATACCCACCATTACCCCCACCAAATTATCCTACCAAATTATGCAACTTCATAATATTATCCATCATTATCCCACCAAATTATCCTACCAAATTATCACACTTTAAGAATTACCCATCATTGTTCCACTAAATTATCCCAGTGTTAAAAAATTATCTCACTTTACCAATTATCCCAGTTCTACTTAAAAAGTTCTAGGTGACTAACCCCCCTACTTATCATAACAAATTCAAAAGCTGAGCGTTTAATGTAAATTTTCTCGAACGAAACGGCAATTGTACCAAAATAGGTAATGTATAAAATTTTCCATATCACAGGTATGTGAAAGTTTACAACGGTAGCTTCTCAAAAGCAGAGTTTGACGCATGTACGATTATTTCCTCCCCATGTCTCATAATCAAAGATGATTCCAACATTTAATGAATAGAAGAATCTTTGTGAATCATACGGATTCAAATTTCAGATCAATGCTAGGATTCTAAAATTCATCAATCCAAGGATAGATATCCTTCTGGTGAAGACGATCTTGATCATAGCAGAGCATCGAATGTCAGCAATCCAGAGCATTAAGATAGCCAATGCTTCCTTTTTATTATAGCATAGTATCGAATGGCATCAATCTAGAGCATTATTGAATAAATTGCAAATATTCCTTAATCCAAGGATGGACATACTTCTAGCCTACCGCTAATATAACGTACGATGAACCAATCTCACTGGATACTTTCTGTCCTAAGTCCTAACTAGGATCATTGGGTACCGACTCCGTAGTCAAAAAAGGCAATGCTCCTGATATACAACGCTAATAAAAGCACCAATTCCTTGGATAAGTACAGATCTCCAAATCCACTAATCTCCTGCGCGCTAATGCAATAGATGGTAACACCGGTAACTCTAATTAAGATTGCGACGATTTCAACTTTGATGAAAGTGGGGAGGGGTGAAATTAGGCCTACAGCAAATAGGACTAGAGCGTGGAAGCAAACTGTAAAGAAGTCTACAATAAATGAATGTACAAATCATTACATGTTTACTGCATTCAAGTCACAACTTCTCAAAAATTGTGGGAGCATCCAAGCCCCCCAGTTCTCCATGCACATGTACAATAAACTTTTTATGAGATGAAATACATGTACAGTAAACTTTACAACAAGTCGGAAGCAAGATACTCGGCCAAAACAAATTATGCCCTTCTGATTTCCTCCATAATTGTGTGTTAGCTCTGTCATTCTTTTTCTTTCCTTTTCCCCTCCTTGATTGACAGATTACTAATCTGCCTTTCTAGCTGCAAACTCACGAGAAAAGGAAAGATTCAGAGAGCAGTTCAGGTTAAGGACATACATGCATGCATGTGTGTATGAGATACTGATTATAATTTGTCACCTCATTTGGTAAAATGAGCTCTTCAATAGATAGACTTGACTAGCAGATGGGACCTAACTAGAAGTCTATCTCTTTGCAGCTTTTTTATATATATATATCGATGACTAAGAAACTTAGTGGACGTCCACTTAAGTTGACATAAATTTTTCTCTCTGAAAAAAACTTATGTCAATTTAAGTGGACGTCCACTAAGTTTCTTAGTCATCGATGATCACTTGATTGAGCTACATTGTGGATGATCTGCTCCGTTGAACTTGATCTACATATTCTAAAACCCCAACACACCAAATTTAGGGTGAATCCGTCGTGGTTTGACCCTCCGTCGAGTCATGTAAAAAGTTCTATTCATTCGAAACCGTTAAAATTGATACGAGTGGATGAAGGGTCAAACCACGACGGGTTCACCCCAAATTTGGTGTGTTGGGGTTTTAGAATATGTAGATCAAGTTCAACGGAGCGGATCATCCACAATATAACTCAATCAAGTGATCATCGATGACTAAGAAACTTAGTGGACGTCCACTTAAATTGACATAAGTTTTTCTCTCTCTCTTCTCTCTCTCTTCTCTCTCTCTCTATATATTATATATATATAGAGAGGGGGGGGGAGCTCCTATAAACTTTAAGTGGATAGGAGCCATTTGTCCACCAACTTTTTTATCCATTAATTTTGTATTGAGATTTGTGCTAGCATGTGACGCGCGCGAGCATGTATATCCTCTTCTTTCTCCGTTCAAAACAAAGAATCTCAAAATCAAGGAATACAAGCCTTATCTACAGACTCCCTGCAGTCATATGATAGAGCTGGAACATCAATGCTCAAATTGGTTTTCTATGAAGCATGGAATTCCAATCATGTTTATCAGCAGACAGTGTACGCTAAGGGTGTACAAGGTTTATTTGTATTATAGAGTTGAAACATCAATGCTCAAAAGAGTTATTTGCACTTTGGTACCCTAAAGTTTACATCTTTTTTAACTTTGATACCCAAGTTTTTATTTGACACTTTGATACCTGAAGTTTACAACTTTTTTGACTGTGACACCCCATAGTTTATTTTCCGACGCTATGATACCCCAAAGTTCACGCATTTTATCTTTTTTTTTAACTGAAGGAGCAGGAAAAACTTCCTGCTCATGTTATATATTTGTATTTATACCGGAAAAACAAAAAAGAATTTACATACCTAACCACATCATATGAAAGAAAAGAAAATCTTAAGAGTCACCAGCATAGACTGTAATAACATACAAAACACTACACCAGGAACCAGATAGAAGATGAAAGTAGGGGCTTCGCATATGAGTAACTTCCCAAAAGTAAATCCATAAGATAGTCTGAACTGAGGCCATGCATTCACAGGCACTAGTCTGACAAAAAATTATCTCCCACCTCAACAACTGCTTTCTTCTTAGCGATTTCATCAAACTGCAACTTAATAGTAGCCCTACGAATCCTTTTTGCTAGCCTGTCATCTTGAGCACCTGCCCAAAGAAGAGTGTATCTAGCCACATTAGCAGCAATGAGATCAGAATTTTGATGCTTATCTCTAAAAATGAGTAAGTTACGGCTGTTCCAGATCCACCAGCAACAGCATGGAAGCACAACCTTCCAAATGCATCTAATATCTCTGTTGACTGCTGTTGAATCTTTGATTAGAATCAAATCTTTCATCGAAGGAGGCCAGGAGGCAGCAATAACACTGGGGAAGAGGGTGGACCAAATTGAAGATGCAAAGGAGCATGCAATGAGTAAGTGATCCTGACTCTCAACTTCTGAATAACAAAAAGGACACCTAGGGTCTCCGATCCAGCCCTTGGAGACTAGATTGGCCCTTGTATTAAGCTTTTGATTACTCACAATCCAGAAGAAGACTTTGACTTTCAATGGGATTGGAGATTTCCAATTGAAATTGTAGAGTCTAGATATGCATCCTCCAGAAATAAGAGTAGAATATAGAGATTTGACAGAAAACATTCCTGATGAGTTAAGGGGCCAACATACTAGATCCTTGGATACGGTAGAATCACAACCAAAAGGTTCTATATAGGCTAGGAGGTTCTGTACCTCTCTATGCGATTCTGGAGAAATACATCTTCTGAGAATTGGTCTCCAATGCCAAGATTGATTTAAGAGGAAGCCCTGAGATCTGATATTACTATCTTTAGAGAATGCAAGAGAAAAGGCCAAAGGAAAGAGGTTGCTCAGAGAGTTTGGTCCAGACCATTTATCATACCAGAAGCTACACGTCTTGCCATTTCCTACAGTCCATCTGACAAAAAAGAGGAAGACTGGAATAATAGAGCTTAATTCTTTGAGCAGGTTTGATGATTTTGGTCTGAGTTTGATCACAACTGGATTGGAATCATCCTTAGAATACAATGAGAAGATCACTCTACTGATTAGAGAGTCCCTCTCAAAAATTTTCCAAATCCATTTAGAGAGGAGAGAGATTGAAGACTTGAAGATTGATAACACCCAATCCTCCTTGTTTCGGTCTGCAAACTGAGTTCCAAGCTACCAAACATTTGAGTTTGGATGGAACATTGCTCTCATTCCAAAGGAAATTCCTTCTGATTTTGTCAATTTCATGAATCAACCACTGAGGGAATTTGAAGAATGAAATATAGTAGAGAGGGAGTGAGGAGAGGACTGAGTTTACCAAAGTTAGACGCCCTCCTATAGATAGGGATTTATTTTTCCATAGAGATAGTTTTTTTGAAAAAGAATCAAGAAGAGGGAGCCAATCTCTTCTAGATAGAGAGCCTTTTTTGAGAGGAAGTCCCAGATAGGAAAAATGTAAGGATCCCACGGAACAATTTAGAAGACTAGCAAGATGAGAAGCCTTTCTGGGAGATCTCCCAAGGTAATAAAGATGAGTTTTGTTTGGATTTACTGCCAGGCCAGAGATGAGAGCAAAAATGAGGAGAATAGCTTTTAGAGTGGACATATCTGCAGAGGAAGCTTTGGCAAAAATGATTGTGTCGTCAGCGAATTGGAGAGATTTGATATTGTTGAGTTCCCCTTTCAGCTGAAGCTCAGACAGGTCTCCAGAATCATGGCTTGATAGTAACATTTTGTTAAGAACATCTACCACCAGGAGAAAGAGCATAGGGGAAAGGGGGTCCCCTTGTTTCAATCCCCTATGACAGTTAAAGAACTTTGTTGGAGAGCCATTAACCAAGACAGCTGATTTGGAGGAGGAAAGAATATGTTTGATCCAAAGACACCATTTCTGACTAAAGCCTCTGGCTTCAAGGAGGGAGAGAAGGAAGTCTCAATTAACACAATCGAAGGCTTTGAAGAAATCAACTTTTATAGCACATATTTCCTTCTTTCTAGATGAGCAGAAATTAATCATTTCGTGGGCTAACAGAATAGAGTCAAGAGATGATTGCCTTTTTGGAAGGCTGGCTGGGATGGGTCTACTAAGAGATGGATGACCCTACTAAGTCTATTAGCCAAGATCTTCGAGATGATTTTGCAAGAACTGTTAATGAGACTGATAGGTCTAAAATCCTTAGGGGAGCTAGCACCCTCCTTCTTAGGAATGAGACAGTTGTATGAATAGTTAATGTTATGAAGGGATTGAGGATGAGAGAAAAAATTTTGGGTGAAGGCTATGACATCTTCCTCTAAGGAATTCCAGAAGGTTTGGTAAAAAAGCAGAGGAAAACCGTCAGGGCCTGGCGATTTATCTGGGTGAAGATCAAAAACTGTGGCTTTAATTTCTTCAGAGGAGAAGGGAAGATCTAAAGAGGAGAGATCAGGAGGGGCATCAGGGTACAGAATGTTCCAGTCAACTGAAAGCCTAGCCACTGGTGGTTGACGAAAGAGGTTAGAAAATAAGTCAAAGAAAGCCCTATTCAATTCTGATTCTGATGAAATGATAGAATTATTCTCCATGAGATAAGGAATGAAATTTTTCCTTCTTCTTTGAGAAGCCACATTATGAAAGAAACGGGTATTATTGTCTCCCTCTTTTAACCATTGAATTCTAGACCTTTGTTTCCATTTGATTTCTTCTGCATTTGCTAATGAAAGAAGTTGATCTTTCAGATCACTTCTAGAGAGAATTTCTGAAGGAGATAAAGCTCTGCTTTCTTCAAGCAAGTTAAGGGAGTCCAGCTGGGTCATAAGGGATGAAGAGAGTAGCTGATAGGGTCGAAGACAATTTCTTTTCCACCATTTGATCATTTTCTTAATGAGCTTTAGCTTAAAAGCAAATGAGAGAGGAGAGTTGTCATGAGAGAAAGGAACTCCAATTATTGGAAATGAAGGGGATGAAAGAGGGGTCCGAAAGCCAGAATTTTTCAAATCTAAAGAGAGGAAAAGATAAAAGGGAGCTAGTATCTAAAAGAATGGGACAGTGGTCTGAGCAAGGGGCTTGATATGCGAACTGAACCAGAAGGGGAAATTTAGCTTCAAAATCTGTAGACACTAGAAATCTATCCAATCTGGCAAGAACTGGAGGAGTTCTACAGTTGGACCACGTAAATTTTCTCCCACTCATAGGAAGATCAGATAGATGAAGAGAAGCAATAAGATTCTTGAAAGACTCGATATCTTTTAGAGAGCCTGAACGACCACTTCTTTCAGCCAAATTGAGAGTCATATTAAAATCTCCGAAAACCACCCAGGGGAGAGAGTGAGAAGATCTAATTCTATTTAGTTCCCACCAACAAACTTCTCTATCTGCGGCGTCACACGGAGCATAAACTGAGGCAACAGCAAAAGACCAGTTTGATTGACGGAGAGTAAGGAACACAGTCACTGAGAAGATTCCTATAGAGGAGGAACTACAGGAGAAGATGTTATCGTTCCAACCAAGAAGGACTCCTCCCCTTGACTCTACAGCGTCTAAGGAAATCCAGGAGGAAATAGACCCGCTTCCTAGAGATTTAAGAGCCGATGGTCTAAAGGAATTGAGTTTTGTCTCTTGCAGGCCAACAAGATCGACTTTGGCTAGCTTCAGACAATCCTTAACCAATCTACGCTTTGCTGGGTGGTTAAGACCCCTAACGTTCCATGAACCAAACTTCATAAAGACAGAGAGGGAGACAACTTAGAAGATGATGAGCCTTCAAGATAGAATAACCCCAGATTTATCCAACTCTTGGATATCTCTCAGACCCTGTGGGTCTATCGGTTCTCTTATACCACAGTTAACAGAAATTTCTCCCAGACGCTCTATAGAGAGGGATTGGAGAGGCATAGTAGAAGCTGAGGAACCAGATTTACTTTTAGATTTACCTGGATGCTTACTCCTTTTCATCAGGACCAGATGCTTCTGAACTGGATGACTCAACTGGATCCCTCTGGATGATTTCTTCTTGCCGGCCTTGGAGGGCTTCTTGTTGAACTCGAAACCCGGAGGGAGATCGGAGGAAGATGCAATGTCCATGGAGTCAGAGGATGAAACCCCAATCGCCTTTTCCCCTGCTATGGGGGAGTGAATGGTTCTGGCTTCATCTGACTGAGAGAGAACCGGCTTCAGCAATTCCCAAGAAGCCTTGTCAATTTTAATGTTAACTCCTTTTAAGATAACATCTACCATTTCTAGAGCTGGCACTGCGAGGGGGGAATGATCAGAGGGTCGAGGACCCTCTACTACCATGGGTTTCTTTCCTTTATCAACCATTGGAGCAGGTTGGGGAGAGGACACATCTTTGGCTGCTGTAGCTAACTCTAACTTGGCTGAATCTGACGATACTTGAAGAGGTTTCTGAAGAGATTCTTGGAACACCCTCATTGCGAATAAATGCTTCGTACTTATCCTGGCATCTTCCTTGGGACGATGATAAAGGTTCGCCAACTATCCTAAGACGAACTGAACCTTCCATGATGTGGATATCATCTGGAGAAGCATATCTAAAGGTGATAACTTGGGGGATTTCAGACGGATCCCGAACATGAATCATAGCTTTACAGTCCTTGACCTCTCTTTTGAAAACTACATCATTTGACACTGAAAGAACTTCACCAACATTACTCAGCATCAAAGATAAAAACTCGGAGTCCCAAAGGTGAATCGGGAGGTCAAGGATTTCCACCCAAACATAAACAAATTTGGGCAGAGCTTTCAAACCTGACTTTTCCGACCAAGGGGAGAAAACCCCTCCGAAATTCCCCATACTGAAAAAGGATTTGGAGCATGCATAGTCCATAGTTTTTGCATCTGGGAATTGAATGAAATAGGAGGAAGGAGAGGACTTTCTAACAACAGTGGACCACTTATCAACTTTCAGATGATATTCTAGGTTTTCAATGAGTTCCTCATATGTGGGGTTGCCAACTTGAATGTTAAAGAAGGCATAAAAGATAAAATCGTCCATGCAGCTGACGACTGACTCAGGAAGAGAAATGTTAGGGATAAAAAGAGCAGGAGGATGGCTGGATGGCGCTTTAGAGGAAGGAGGAAGGATACTATGAACTGAGGGCTTGTTTCTATTAGGGCGGATCAGAGAGGTATGCCCTACCAAATTGCAAGCAAAGCACTTAAAATCCCCTAAAGAACACTGATTAGCCATGTGATCCCTTTTATCACAAAGGAAACACCTGATTGATTTGTGGAAAGAGGGGTTGGGGTTGAAAGAGGAGGCAGGTCTTCTCCTTTTGAGCCTTTTCTTGTAGGAAACTTGTGTCCACCCTTCTTCAGGAAGAGGAAGAATGTCTCTGGAAGAGAGATCACACAGATCCTTGGATCTCTTAAACAGATCTGCGAAAGAAGGTTTTTTGGTGGGAAGGTGATTCGGTGGGGGTTGGAAAGAGAAAGTCTTTTTAGGGTTTTGAGGGTTTTGAAGGGGGGATCTGAAGATTGGTTAGGAATGGGGAAGGAGGGTTGATTGGTTAGGAATGGGGAAGGAGGGTTGGGAGACAGAAGAAGGTGGGGAGACGAAGATTTTACCACTATCAAAGGAGACGACACGCCGTCTTGGGACCGTGCGAGCCGCCTGAGAAGAAGTCGCTCCATGTCGCCTATCGAATCGCCTGTCGAATCGCCTCCTCCCCTGCTCCATGTCGGTTGTTATTTTCTTTCACACTTTAGTTCTTAGTCTTTTTCTTATACAAATTTCTAAACGCGCGGATATGAGAAGGATATGCTAGCCTTCACAGGTTGCAACCACAACCTCACCTCAAGCCAAGCTGAAGAACTAAGACTCCACAGACTGACACATTTTATCTTTGATACCCAAAGTTACACATTTTTTAACTTCTATTCCCCCAAACTTTGTATCAAAGTCTCAAAAACAAAACTTTAGGGCACCAGAGTCCCCAAAGATGTAAACATTCAGGTATCAAAGTGTTAGAAAAAGGGTATCAAAGTGTTAGAAAAAAATTTTGGGGTATCGAAGTCAAAACATTGTAAACTTTTGGGATATCAAAGTGACGGAAAAAAACTTCGGGGTATCAAAATTCAAAATGGTGAAAATTTAGAGGTACGGAAGTGCAAATGACCCATGCTCAACATCAAAGATCTTTCTTGCGTATCAAAATTAATTTAATCTTGTGGAATGAGATTAATAACAGAATGTCAGTACATGCATTTAATGACCAAAGACTAGCAATGATATCCATAAGGGCATTACATTCATCGATTGTGCGAAATTGGACATATGTAATGTACCTGAGCATTCTTATATTTCAACCTCTGCACATCATCACCCAGGCTCCCAACACTGAATTAAACACTTTTTTTCAGTCCGATGCCCAAAGATATAATAATTATTATGGTTCAGAAGAAATTGATATCTTGTAGTACCTTTGTTGCAGATGAACCAAATAGCTCTGCAGCTCCTTCTCCTTACTGGAAGCTGGAGGAAGCTGTGGTTAAAACGTATTGTCAAAAAGTATCAGAGAGCACTTTGTAAGTGTATGGGGTCAATAATGCACATAGAAAACTATAAGCAATTGCCTATACCTGTGATAAGTCACTACTGCCAGCATCTGAGGGTTCTTGCTGACCTGCCAACCAAATAGTAAACCATATCACCACACTTTGAAAATTCAGTTTGTGCTGACTCTCGAAAAATAGAATTCACAGATAAATACCACATGTTTGCTCCAAACACTTGATCAAATTAATAAGTGTTTCCTGTAAATAGCAAGAAGGTAAGTCTAAATGCTAAAAGGCAGAAATAACAATTTATAAGGAATGGTCTAGGTCTGACCCTCTGCATAGCATTCTGCTGGAGTAGAAACTGCAACAGCGGAAGAACGATAGCAGCATTTACAGATGGATTTGTTGATGCTCCACTGACTGAGTTTACCATGCAATTTGCCGAAGGTGTTGCCTAAATAACAACAGGCGAAAACAGTTACCATCTTGCAGAAGGTACATTTTTATGCTACTGAAAGAACTTTACAGTTTCTTAACTCTTTCTTTCACTCGGGCAATTTATAAGCCAAAAAATTCCAAATATTCCGAATCCCCGATGTTAGTTGCAAGACATAATGATGTTAATATATTTCATCTTATGTGATGACCAAATTACATTTTTCCCAGGTTAAACTAAACCGCATTCCTAACGGGTTAAAAGGGATCAATTTTTTTCTATTCGAGATCTTATGCTGTAATTCTTAGATGCATCAGCCTGTCCAAACACATTTGTTTAGAAGATGTGGGCATATCCAACAAATACGAATAGGTCATAAGATCATAGTTGATGGAGCAACAAGGAAAAGAAATATGCCTAAAACAACTTGTACCAGAGGCAACTAAAAAGAATATGCTCATGGCTAATTCAACCAAGAAGATTGCCTTAAGAGAGATGGACAGAAGAACACGGTTTGTGTAGCCCATGCAAAATTTTGACATAAACAGTTTCTGGTTTATTAAGTTGTGGGCCGCACCCTTAAACTATGAATTATGATCTGCCATTCATCCAAATGCTTACATAGACCAATACATATTAGCATTGACATGTATGAATATATTAACAAATTTATTTGTTTGATTTAATAACAATAATAAAAAATACTTAGATACCTTGTTGCCAGCATCTGCTGATGTAACCTTGAACCGTCCCTTGCGCTGGACGACTCTTCCTTCCGATGACTCCTCTTGCGTGCTTGCTTAAATGCCAATATATATATATATATATATATATATATATATATATATATATATATATAATTGAAAATCATAAAATTATAATTGTGAAACCAGTCATATGTATGATCTTGTTTTAGCAACCCTCACTAGAGATAAGACTGACAGTAAGAACGACGAAATTGATGTTTACCATGCGAGGTGATGAATATCTTAAAACATTATACCTGATGCAGAATTATGGGAGTCTCTCATTTGACGATAGAAAAGGGGACCACTAGGATTCCTCTCATTTTGACCCCTCTGATTGAGGTCATCCCTAAAATAAATGTAAATAGCACAAAAATAAGCATTGAATTATTCAGAAACAGGTGGAATGCAACTCAATTGGTAAGCAAGAAAGAGTCTTGTCTTAATCTTTAAAATATCAATAATGAAGCCTAGCTCTCACCCCATTTTAGGCACTATGTGTGTTTATCAGGGCTATACAGTGTCAAAAGCATGTCCTAACTAGCTAGAATACTGATCTACTAGGAAGTAAAGTGCAAGCCTTAATGAAATTATCATTAAATAAAGCTCATCATGGACCAAGTAAAATGGGAGTCAAATGAATGTTGGAATAGTTACCATAGAAGTGCAAATGAATGTTGGAATAGTTACCATAGAAGTGCTCCTAAGAAAACGGCAACAACAACAAAATATACAAATGCTTTATGCCTCGATTTTTTGGCATGACATGTAACATTAGAACACAACCTAAACAAAGAATTGCTTTATATTCTTATATCATTTGGATGTGAGATGTAAACTTCATAAGGATTGAGTTAGGATGGCTCCGCAAGTCACCATTCATAAGACCATCTACTATGTGGAAGCATAGTCTTAATTGAAATCATCATGGGCTTTACACAATTTTGGATATCCTACTTGATTCAATTTCCATGCATCAAACAGTCCATGAGATAAAAGATGTTATTTCATTGAAAAGATAGATAGAACAATAAAATTGACACCATCATCCCACACATTCTCATCAGTGTTACTTGCATTCTGCCACCTAGTCCATAGTACAACAGAAAAAGAAACAATTGGAGACATTCTGTCCATGAAAATGTTACTGCAACATACATATCCTCAAGAAGCAGTTAAATATAATAAGAACAGAGTAAGATGGTGGAAAATAACTACCAAATACTATTTAACAGGTTCATAAAGTTTATACGTATATAATCATACAACTTGCAGAATGTCATGCGCAATAAGAGGTGTCAGTCAACAACTATTGAAAACTTGTTCTATACTTTGCAGACATAGTGCATAAAAGCACTTAAAACATTAAAGTGCAGATTTAAATAAATTAAAAATGAGAGCAGAACAAAATAAAATACACTAGAACGCCAAATACTACATAGTCAACAATATTGTTAAAAGCAAGCTTTCAAGTAACAAACTTTACCTCTCTCCATCACCCGCAATGTGCTTATAAGGTGAAAGAACATGTTCTGGCAGTAGTGAACCACTTGAGAACTTGTGCCGTCCAATTACATGCATATTCTTGGGTACAGATGCACTTCTTTCAATAAAATCACCATTATACTTGCTAGCATCGAGGTCTTCAGTTTGTGATGGCTTCTGCTGTGGTAATATGGATCCTGAATTTGGATCCTTATAGTTCTTCCAAGTAGGGCTTGTAGCATTTGCATCATCCTCACAAACATCAAAGCAACCCCTGTAACAATTCAGGATACTTAATACTAACCCACTATTCAGTAATTGTTTTCAATAGAATTAAAGAACAAGTCCCTAATAATATCGCGTAAGCTAGAGGAAAAGAACCAAAAATGAGAACTCGCAAAAAACGGCTAAGAAAAATACTACAACATGTTTTAGACTTTTAGACGATGGAGATGAGTGAAATAAATTTAAGTTGGAACAATTTTATATGGTAGAAAGAAAAAGGTATACCGGACCTTAACTAAGATTTTTAAGGGTTTTTTTCTAAATTAGTCCCCCTAAATTTTTCATATTTTGAAATTAGACCCCCAAATCTTTGTATTTGAAATTAGTCCCACAAATCTTTAATTCTTTTGAAATTGATCCCTAAACTCTTCATATTTTGAATATAGTCCCCCAAATCTACCAAATATTTTGAAATTAGTCCCCCAAATATCTCAACTTGGTGCTAACTTGAGGGACTAATTTCAAAATACTTACGGATTTGGGAGACTAATTTCAAAAGATGAATATTTGGGGGACTAATTCAAATAATGAAATATTTGGGGGACTAATATCGAAATAACCTTTTTTAAGTAACTATGAGAATTTTTTTTTCCCTTTACTTTATAGCAAGATCCAATAGTTTCTTTAAATAGGGAAAAATAGAATTATCCCCAATCCCACCTACCACCTCATTTGTATGCCCATAGACATATAAAACTGCTTGAATTCAAGAATTTACCTAAGTGCTTCAAGAGGGCGGATCGGAAATGCAGAGGAAAATGGACCCTCCAAATCTTGAATGTCTTCCAACACATCCTAAGCCAGCAGACAGGCACACACCATAGCATGTCAACCATAGTTTCTTGAAACAATGTAAAGAAAACAAATGAAGGTGGTCAAAGACACAAAACTAGAAGAATCTCACCTCTGCCAAAGTTGCAGCACTATTGTGATCTACCCTTTCTGGGGACATATATTGCGGGATAGAATCAACACGTTCAAGGACATTATTACTATTATTATTTAATTCTTCTAAACTGAAGCCACTATCTGAAGATGGAATCTGAAAAAGGAAAAAAAGTCAGAAAGAACAAGGAGATAGAAGTTTCTTTTGTTCTTTAGTATGAATTTAGGTATTAAAAAAATCTCCTTACAAGGGCAGCCTGAGCTTTCAAGTCCTCCAGATTGAAATTCCATGCACTGATTCCTCGTATGTACTCTTGCTGCAACAACAAATTATTTTCTATGCCAATATAAATACTCAAACAATTAAGCTCTCCAACAATGGAGAAGGGGACTTTTAATCTGAAAAATAAAAAAATGCTCAAAGAATTTGGTTGCATCGCAGTGAAGGCAAGATAGTGAGAAGGGGTCTTTTAAATCTATAACATTAACAACAATACTCAAAAATTTTGGTTGTGTAACAGTGAAGGCAAGATAATGGTGGTGATCCTTTTTATTTTTGGTTTTTATGCTGATAGGTGGTAGCCGATGTAGGCGTGGGTGGGTAGGCGGGTCTGTTGTGGTGGAAAAAAAAACCAAGAAAAAGTTAAAAGAGTTTTAATAAAATTTTGCTGCCCAAACTGAGAAAGTACCCACAAATTTCTGGATGGATGTATGCATAAATATTTGCTACTCAACTCATAAACAATTTTTACCCTCTTACATAGAGATTTTATTTTTGGTGGGAAGCAACTGATAGAAGTACATCATGTGGAACAAGTCTTTTTGAGTTCTCTGACTTTTGGGTTTCACCCATTTTCTCTTTGTCCTTATTTAGCAGTCTTTAATTAGTCAATGCTTGATCCCCCCCCCCCCCCCAACACCACCACACCACCTCACCTCACTCCTCCTCCTCCTCCAATCAATGCATTAGCCCCTAAGAAATAGGAACAGCAGATACAGATCACATGCAGTTATTGAGATTCACCTGCGAAAGATGTTCTTTATCTCCAGCTGCAGTCTTGTTTTGTAAAAGAAAATTGGCTTCTTTTCCCTAGGATGAGAAGAGTCAGCTCATGCATAAAATTATATTATTTCTCAGTTAGAAAAGATCTTTTAGCAACCTTCAGTGTCCTAAATCGTTCACCCAAGGGTTCAAGACCATCAAGTATCGTCCGTACTAAATATTCCTCCGATCGAGCATGTTTAAAGAAAGGATGTTTCAAAAGCTTTTCTGAAGCGGGGCGCTTCTTTGGATCCTTGACTAAGCAGGCACCTACTAAATCTTTGAAAGACTACACAGACAAAGGAATTTCATTAATACAACAAGAGAACATTACATTCTCCAGCATAAACTTGAAAGAAGAGATAAATACCTTTGAGAATCTCTTGTCCCTTTCATAGTCAAGACCTGGAGGTGCATTTTGCAGGGTCATAAGCAACACCTAAAATGATAAAGAGATTATTTTCAATATAATAATAGTTGCAAGGAGAAGAGAAATTGTATGCCCTATTTCACTCAAATGTTGATTTATAGGAATACCTTCATAGGAGGATACTTAGAGAATGGAGCATGGCCGTGGGCAAGTTCCAATGCTGTTATGCCAAATGACCAGATGTCTGCTCTGTTCACAATCAAACAAGTCAGTACGAGAAAAGTGAAAAATTCAGAAAAGGATTCTTAAATAGCCACAGTTCTAGTTAGCTCACTTAAAATCATAGCCATGCAATTGCTGCATAACTTCAGGAGCCATCCTGGAGAACACATAACAGAATTAGCCTATGCACATTCTAACAAATAAAAAAGGGGTTCAATTCATCACATGAAACCAGAAAAGGTGTAAATTTTTGAGTAAGTGAAAGGAAAGAAAATGCACCAGCAAGGAGTCCCCACAAATGTATTTCGCGAGCGTTGCCGATCCCCAGTGTCGAACATGCAAGCTGAGACACCAAAATCTGCTAGCTTAACAGCTCCATTGTCATCGATCAAGATGTTCCCTGCCTGATAAAACCAGACAATATGCACGATCTCTAAAGCAGGCATAAAACGATACTAGCTAAAATTTTGCAACTCTCATCAGTATACTGCAGAGTCAAACACATCTATTCACAATTAAATTGTCAGAAATAAAATCTTCTCAGATGATATATTAACTAGAAACTTTGAAACACAGGGAGGCAACCATCTACTATACACCAAGATCACATAAATGACTAGAAATTAAATACAATGGCTCAAGTTTAGCTCACTTGGGAGCAGCCAATGGTCCTACATTCCATATAGTGAAATGCACTGAAGAGTAGTTTAAATACTTCAGTAAACATGAAATTGTGCACCTTGTACACTCACAATCTTAATAATGCAAAAAGGGAAAGCACGGCCTTAGGCTTGATGTGTTGCATAACAAATAGAAAGCAGTACTTCATTTAAAAGCTCTACTTATCATATTAAGGTAAACTGTGACATCGCCATAAATTGAGTGGCAACATAATGGGAAATGTAGAACTCTTAAATGAAGTATTTCTTTTTATTTATTATGCAGCAAATCAGCCCTAAGACCATGCTTTCCCTGTTTTGCAGTATTAAGATTGTTAGCATACATGGTGCACAACATCATATTTAAACTATTCTCGAGTACATTTCAATATAGGAAACGTAGAGCATAGGCTTCTCCCAAGTGGGCTAAACTTGTGCCATTGTATTTAATTTCTAGTCATTTATGATCTTCGCCAATGGTAGATTGCCCCCTTATTGCGTTTCAAACTTTCTAGTTGCTAATAATCTAGGTCACTCGGACACGGTGTTTTGGGTGTCGTGTCCGTGTCGGACACGTATCAGACACGGATTCTCCACAAACACGTCATGGACACATGTGATTCAAAGCAAAACCCGATTTCCTCATTACTTATACCATAAACTAGTTTCTTTAGTAATATTAGGTTTAAAACCAATCGGTTTTTTAACTCGAAAACTAAAACTCATTACTTAAATATTTGAAAAATACCCATCGTATTATCCCATGCGATCGAAACTAAACTTTTGTTGTTAAACCTTATTCTTAGTTTGATTTAACTTGATTCTTAAGAGCGTGTTTCGTAACTCTTACAAAACTAGGCCAGGATCAATTATGCCCTAGTTTTGTTCTAAATTGGTTCTTTTGCAAACCAACCCCCCTTGGTACACAAAAAAAAACATTTAAAGGTCACTTTTTGGCCTAGGAAAAATTGGGCCAAGATTGGCATCTTGGCCCAATTTTTCCCAAACACAATTCTCCTCAAAATGGGACTAGGGCCAAACCTAGACCCATTTCAAGGAGTTGCCAAACAGGCCCTAATTGTTATAGATAATAGATAATAGATAACAGAAATAAACATACAAATGTTATAGGAATTTTAAATTAATATTTGATCTAATGTAAATTTTACACACGCGTGCACGCACGCACATATACTTATATACATACACACACATACTGTGCCCCCATATCCTACATCTTACAAATTTATCTTGTCCCGTGTCTGTATACATGTGAGTCCATGTCTGCAACCATATCCATGCTACCTAGGTAATAATAAACGAGTACATTCTTAAGAAGTTAGATGATGCTCCATTTCAAGATAAAGGAGAGAAATCTCTTGAGATGGCTTGCACATGAGCAGCGGACATCATTAGAATGCAACAATAAGGAGAAACAAAGAATGATTATTGGAGAAAAGCAAGGAGTAGGGAAGGCCTAAATGGACATGCGTGGAGGAAATTAAAAAGGACACTCTAATTTTTAATTTAAACAGGAAGATGGCCCTTAAACCAAAGGTGAACATGAGAGAAGGATCAAGTAGCCAACCCTGAAAGTTTCAAATAAAAACTTTGTTGTTATTGTCGTATTGTCATAAACTTGTAGTCCTATAATTTTTATAACATATGGGCTTTCATATACAACATGAAAATGTAACAAACTAAATGTAAGCTAGCACAATACAAAGGCACAAAAGACTCCGCCTTAAACAATAAGTAATCAACATACTAAGCATGATACTCAGTACCTTCACATCTCTATGAATATGTCCCTGACCATGCAGGTAAACAAGAGCTTTAAGAACCTCGCGTAAAAGGGTTGCAATAACTTTCTCCTCAAAGCCTTCTGGATAAGAAGATTTCATTATATGGAGGCAAGATCCCCCAGCCATGTAAGGCATCACAACCCAAAGACAGTGATCTGCTGTAAAGGAGCAGTGTGCACGAAGTAAATTTGGATGATTAGTCAATGTCATTGTCTGAACTTCACGTCTGATTCCGTCCTGTCAGAAGACAAAAGTTCCGAAAGAAGAAGAAATGCATGAGCACTATTGTTTGTATATAACTGTCATAACTAAGCTATTGTTGAATTAGTTCAAAAGGAAAGATTTGGAGCCATACTACTTTGTATTCTAACAATCATTAGATTCTACAGGTATCCAATAAATGTGGTCTAAAAAGTCTTTTCAGAAATCTTCTTAAAGTCAGACATAGGAAGGACAGACTATTGAAGCTTAGATAAGGATAAAAAGTGAAAATATGTATGTCGCAAACAAGCAAAACAAGACTTTCAAAGGCGATATAAAAGTCATACTTACGAGGTCATTGTTGCACTTCTCAAGGTCTAAGACCTTGATAGCAACTATCTCGTTAAGTGGAATACAAAGGGCCCTGTAGACAGTCGCGCTGACACCTTCACCAACTTCCTCATACAGCTTGTAGTCGTTAGGATTGGCCGGAAATCGTCTATTAAAGTGGTGATCCATATTTTCTCAAATACCACCATTAGCAATATTTACAGTTCTCGTCCAGGATATATAAATAAATTAGAAGAGTACTTGAACCAACATGAAGGCAACAACGATTTAGTGGTAATAATTCTCCCTTCAAACTGTAGTTCCACCATAAGTTCAGCAGTGCCATGAAGTGAATTACACTTAGATATCAGCCATCTGTAAAAGAACAATGCAAACTGACTTAAATATTTTCCTCAATATAACCAATTATAGGTCATTCTCCAGAAGAAGCCTAAAAGCCAATAATCAAAAGGCAAATTTCAGGAACATCTAGTTTAAAAGAAAAGCCACCATTAATCATGGAGACTTTACTCACCACAAACCGAGGAACCTTTTGTACTATGAAGCCTGTGGGGCTAACAGGTTAAAATCTGTTGAGATGACACCAAAACTAAAACTTGGCAAGCTTACTTACCAATCTGGGGCATTTATCTGTAAGAAATAGGAAAATAACATTTTACACTGCTTAGATAAAAAAAACTATGATAAGAGTAAGCAAAAATTGGACTAACAATAGCAAGAGTTAGCCCAATATCACTTTACAGTAAAACAATAATGTACTGTCCGCACAATGATGTTCATGCCAAGTACTAGTCCAAAACAACAAACAAAAGGCAGAAAGGAAGCAACACAAAGACTGATAATATGAAGCATGAATGGACCCGCAAGGGAAGTTTAACAATATTATATGCATAAAGAATGTCATGTCTTTATCTGCTGTGAGTTTACGTGGATTCAAAGCAGATAGTTAGCAAAATCCTTCTTCCTACATGCACAAAAAAATCTTTAGGAGCAAGATGCAGGAAAGCCTGGGACAAAATAGACCTATTTTAACAAAGAAACAAAAAAGGAACGAAAAAATCCCTTAATTATGATTGATACATATAATGGTTAGGGTGTTCGTAATAAGACTATCAAATTAGACCTAATTTGATAACCCACACCCTACACACACACTCACACGCTCACACATACACAGATGGAAAAAAAGGAAAGAGGAAAAAACCATGCACACAATTTAATGTTTGTACGTAAGTCCACAAATCCTTAGTTATTCAAAAATCAGCCCTTCGACATTGACAATATATGTCTTTAGCTTTGAACTTGCTTCCTCTCAGGACATACTACCACTCTGTCATTTATCTTCCAATGATAACATCTCCCGTGTAGCTATTCATACACTATAACCCATTCTGCACCAAAATCCAAATAAGCGTCTACTGTAAATTCTCTACCTCCTCTCACCTCAACATGAATTCCATTTTCCCTAAACCTAGCCGAAGGTTACATTAGTCAAAAGAGAGCATATTAAATATTCAACCATTATAACTGATACCAGATGAAAGTGAAAGGACGTGAACCTAATTTTGTAACTTAGAAGAATTTTTTGGGACTAATTAAAAATATTTCAAGTGTTAAGATGCTAAAATTAAGTTACATCTAAATTCAGTGCTCCATATGAAAAAAAATCTTGATGGTTAAAATCAAGCACGCTCCTCCAGATATAATTTTAGATTCAATTCCACAGGTTCCTGCATCACATAACCAATATAAAGACAACAAAACCACCATCATATCGAACAAAAATCCAAATATGTGGGAACATGGAAATATATGTATTCTCCCATACGATGTTCCTTTTCACGTGGTCTATCAAACATGCTTTAAATATTCATCACCCTCCACTTTCCACTTGGGTAAATGCCAATATATCATTTCTGCAGTTTTAAGATGTTACCTTTAAGCATCCTATCGAGAAGTTTACTGATACACAACCTGATTCACGAACACATGATATCTGAAGATCATGTCTAATATGTCCATATTAAATGTGCAACAATGTATACTCCTGACCATAGTTGCGCAATTACCTGGACCTCCCACCCCCCGAACCGTCGTACAGTTCATACGAACCGATTCCTAGTACATTTGTGAACCGATTCCCTCCGGTACAAATTGGTTACCCAAAATTGGCATACCACTTACAAGCATGTGTGGTGCAAAGTCCCTTCGTGCACATGTGCAAGACGCAATGCAATGTGTGTAATCAAGTGAAGGGAGACACAATAGAATATATGAGTCAATGACTTTATTGTAACTAAATATATAAAATGTGAAATGAAACCATATTACCAACACAAACTATGTGAAAAGAAAATTAGAACAAAAAAAATGAACTCCATATAAAAGAGGTATGTAAGTACCCTATATGAAAAATATTGAAATGCATAACTAGCTTTCTAGTTTCTAGTTTTCTAGTATACACTTTGGAAAATATAAGCACACCCAAAATAATTTTAAAACGTACCACTGACCAACTTGTGTACCGAAGCACGCTATCCCTCTTGAATCCAAAATTTTTAAGTGGTGAATTGTGTATCTGTATTCGTACCACGACCCACTATATACCGCATACTGTGTAAGTATGCTCCTGAAACAAGTTAATCAAATTAACAACTTGATAAGTAGAAAGAGGTGGGTTACGCATAAGTTTTAAGTCAAGTATGCATGCTAAATACTGATTACAAAAAGATGAGCATCAGATTTTATATGCTTTGGTCTTCATGAGCTGGAGATAAGACACACTCATTTCTGAGTTGGATGTGAATGTGGAGATACATTAAGAGAGACAACATCTTGAAAAATCGAGTTGGTTTCCAAAAAACCGCAGGTAAAGCCAATGATTATGGGGGTGGAGTGGACATTGAAAGGAAGGGATGGAGAAATTTGGCGGATTGTAAGACTCTTGGGGTTAAGAAAATCCCAAATATGGTCAGAGATATGTCCAAGTGGCTCAAATGCGTTAAGGTTTGTCCCCATTTGTAGAGTGGTTGGGTTACAGCATAGAGTGGCTTTATAATTTTAACTATACAGTATAGATATACCTTTAATCCAACTTTCACTTAATCAAGGAGTATGTAAATAATTAATATAACTAAATAAGAATGTTGAGATGGATGATAGGAAAAATACAAACAGATAATAGAGCATCCATTAAGAAGAGACCTGTGTTAAGGCTAACATGTAAGAAGCCATTTTTTTGATGGTTTGCACATTTTCCATGGAGACCATTTACTGCATCATTTAGCTAAATTCATGGGATCAGTTCATGGAGCAAGGATGACTAACGTATCTAAAAGGACAAAATTTGAGGCAGTTAAAAGGGATATCTAGTTGCTAATTTAATGGAAATAGCCTTATAAAATTAAATTGAGAAAAGAGATTCACAAAGCCAAACTTGGAACATCATAAATTCTTTCGTGTTGTTTGTGCTGTAGATTTAATCCAAATGTTCTTATTATGGAGTTGCTTTCTTCTGTGGCATGTCTTGAACCGAGTAACGTATTCTCTTGGTTTGATAAGGGTCAATTGATAAGGTTGGCTGATTTCATCATCTTTTTTTTAAATAGATTGCATGGAGCTTAGCAATCAACCTGAGAACTACATCTCTCATGAAGCTACTCATCATCATTTTTGGAATTATACAGATTGGTAAACTTGCTAAGAAGTTGATTGAATGCAGAGAGGATACTTTATATTCTTTGGTGTACAAGTTGGTGTAGTTAACACTAATTTCATCTGTTGCAACATCAAGTGTTGAAAGAGCATTTTTGTCAATGAAAACTATTACGAATGTCCTTCGAAACCCAATGAGGGATGAGTATATGAATGATTGTTTGGTGCCTTATATCGAAAAAGATATAGTTAGTAACATTGACGAGAAAGATGTCAGGAAACAGTCTTAAGAAATGAGAGCAAAAAGAATGTTATAAACACTTCTAATTTGAATTATGTTTCCAGAAGTCTTATTGTGCATAAATATTTAGATGCTAATCAATCGTACAATTTTTTTAATGTTTTCATGTTTAATTTTTTTAATCCCCTCTCCCAAAATTCCTGGCTCTGCCACTGCCTCCATTGAGTTATATTAAGTCATCTTCTCCGTTAACGTTTATTCTTTTTAATTGCTTCCATCCAAGTTCATTTAGGTCTACCTCTAACCCTAACACTAACCCTAACACTCCATTGAGTAATGACTAAACCATCTCAGTGGATTCTCTCTCATATTGAATCTCTCATTTTATCCTCAGCAGAAGGAAAAAAAAAACCTCTAATCTCCCACAAATGCTTTATAAGTCAGTTACTAAATCATATAAAGTTCTGCTCTCTCTCAAATTTTTTTTATTATCAACACATAGTTCTATCTTCTCTATTACATAAATTTAGATCAAACAAAGCACGCCTTAACAACAAAGTTACCTTCTTAAAGTTCTAAAGACCACGCTCCAACTCTCTAAAACTTCTCAAAGATTCAAATTTTATAACGCCAGTAACAATTCCACTACTAAAAAAAACTATCAAATTACTAGGAAACGGATCGAATCTTCACCTGAGGGGATCGACGACTGAGAAGAGGAAGAAGAAGGAGAAACCCTAGCACGAGCTGGCTATCGTCACCGCCTCCGTGGATCTTGTCACCGCCGCCGTCGACAAGGCGATCTTGAACTCAATCTCTCCCTCTCGTCGATCGAGCTGTTTTCTTGCGGTTATCAATAAAAGTACCCTTTTTTTCTTTTCTTTTTCTGGTCGATTTTTTCGGCTGGGAAAAGTATATTAGAAATGGAATGTTTTGTAGTTTAATCCTTGTCATTGTCTTTATTTGCGTCTAATAATACACCTTCCAATTCGTACAAGCAATCCTAAAAAAGAGGGATACTGTATCTTATCTTGTACTTCTCTTTATACTCAATTGAAGTGAAAACGACTCATCTTTTATCATGAGATGATGGTTAGATAATAGAGCTTACATTTTCATTCCAATTGTAACCAGAAAGTGGTACTCAAGATATTATTCAATTGGCGTTGTGTGAAAGAAATATTCTGGTATGATATCGTTAATTTTAAAACTTAGAAAATTAACAGTAATCTTTCTCACGTGCTTATATTATAATTCCTTACTAATTCATACCTCTAGATATAAGTCAAACTTGCATCATGGTGTAAAATTTATGCTCCCTTATTTGACCAAAAAAAAATGCGAAGAATTTACATAGCAATGACAGTATAATTGATAAAAAAGATTATATTTATGTATTTATATAAATATTAAAATTTATATCTTTTATCATATTGTAGCATGTATCTTTCGTTAGGTTAATTAAAGCATATACAATAAATAGAACACGATGATAAATGGATGCTCAATAGTCAGGAAATAAAAATATGCAAGATTTATTCATTCCATGTGAATAGCAATAGGAACCCCGTCGCTAGTTTATCTTCTAATTAATAACTCCTTCAAAAAAAAACGCCATAAACTTTGAACGCTCTGATTTCACATGCAAAAGAAAACGACAGCCTTATGCAAACAAGTTATAAAACATGGGGCCATCTGAAAAAAACGCAAGAAGTACCGCTGGAAAACAGCAAAGATGAGGAGGGCAGCGGGCCCCACATATTCTGAACTTAGCACGGGTGAACATACGTGAGCAATGACCGCCCATAACAGTAACCCCCCTCTCCCTAGCTTCTCTCGCTGTACGGAATCAAGGGTACGCGTGGCGTACGGATGCCGTAACAGACGTGAGATTACCCCGAAATTTGTCCTCTTTCGGCAAGATTTGTTTGCGTGGCGGGTTGGGAGTGGGTAGTTGTGGTGTACGCTGTTGTGGAGTGATTTAGGTGATTGGGGACAGTCCATATGCTAGACTCCAGAGTCCGAGGTGGAAAAATATTGTACGTAACCGACGGGATGAGGAATTACGTTTGGCTCCTTACGTGGCTTTGTATTGATTTTAGAGCTCTATATATGATGAATTTGTTTAGCTTAATATCAGAAAATCCTCCAAAGTTTGGAGGTGTATCAGATACCCCTGATTACATTCAAAATATCAATATCCCCAAGTTTAGGGTTATATAAAAAATCTTTTTTAACTTTAAAAACTTATCAAAAACCATTCCTAAAAGTGTGAATTGCAACATACGCTATAATTTTTACCCGTCCATGTGAAAAGTTACAGTTAATATTGTTACAGGAGTTTTGATAAAATATAAAAGTTAACAAGGTTTTTTTGCTAGCCCCTAACCTTAAGGGGGGTTTTTTATATTTGAAAAAACGATGAGAATTTATCTGATAATTGTCCAAAGTTAATGGGGTTTTCAAACATTGCATTTCTTTTTTCATAGGATTTTACGAAAAAATACGATATGTAATTTAAAGTATCTATACAGTTGAGCTGTTTGCACCTACATTTAGGATATCAAATGGCAATATTCACACGATAGAACATGTATGAGCTAGTGAAGACGACGATGGTAAATGCTCAAATGCAAACACGTTAGGGAGATCAATACCGGGTTGTAATCAAGTCCCTTCTGACATTCAAGTTAGCAGTATATAATTAGATATGCTATGATTTTCTTGACGTTGAGAATTAATTTTAAGATTGTATAGATGATGCGCCTTGGTGAACCATGATTCATGAAGTTTTTTTAAAGTCAACTTTGTGTATGGTATAAGTGTATAACATATATAAATTTGTGTTTCAGCATTTCTTTCACATCGTGTACGCAACCGAACATGCTTTCCTTTCATCTGGTCTTCATCCATCGTCAACTTTATTGTGGACATCGTCAACTCTGTGTTTGTATAAACATGCATGTAATTATTAAAGGAATAATGATATGGTAAAATCACTACAAGAAATCCGGTATTTAACGACCAAAATCAGTGATGGGACCAATTGGCCGTCATTAATGTGCATATATTAACGACGGGTTTTAAAGCCTTCGTCGAGTGATTACAAAAATTAAAGGAATGATGTGAGATGAGATAACGGCTTTCTAGTCCCTTCGTTGATTTAATCCTAATACCGTCGTTATTGGGTCTACTTAAAGACGAAGGGGTACATTACCTTCATTGATGATCCTCCTAGTCATAATTAGGGTTTTGTCTTTCCCTTAAAACACTAATACTTTTTGCCCAAATATTTCTGAACTCGGTGGATCTTGCATCTCACAAATCCTCTCCCCTCTCTCGGCCTCTTTGCCTAAATTTTAATGGCGGCAACGACTGGGAGGCCAACGAAATAGGCCCTCATGTGGCCCTTCTTCTTGATCCTCCCCCTCCACTCCCTCGTCATCTTCCTCTTCAGCCACGGCTTCCTCCTCACTCGCACCGAGCTCTCATCCTTCAGCCACTGCTCTGATCTCTCTCAAGCCAACTCCAGCAACCCCTGCTCTTTCCCCTCTCAACCTGAACCCGAACCCGAGCCCGATGGCAAGTGTTGGACCCGGCCAACTGTCAATCGCCTCGTCATGATCGTCCTCGATGCCCTCCGGTGAATCTCACCCCTAAACCCCTGAAATCTAGGGTTTTGGTGTGTCGCTGGTCAGGTTTGATTTCGTGGCGCCGAGCACTTTCTTCCAAGGTTAGTGATTTCATTCTGTTCAGTATGTTGAATTTGGCTAACTTTAATACACCAAAGTTTCGAACTTTTGTTAGTTCTGTGTTACAATTTGACACTCCAGAGTTTTCAAATTCATACCTTCATTAATAAGCATGTATCAGATGTAAGTCCAGATTTTTGAAGAATTATCAAGACAGTGTCACCTTTATCTCTGTATCTAAGATTTAATGAGATTCAAATGAGATGATCACTTGTTTCTTTTGAAATAATTCTATTAATTGCTGCTACTTCTCGTTCTAACATGATAATGGTTCTATATTTGCTTCATTCTTCATTCAGAAACCCGCAACGGAAGTCTATACCAAATTTAGCGAATGACCTGCAGAAGGTTTACCTCTTGATGTCCAGAACAAATAAAGATGAGCCATTGAACTTTGGTTTTGAAGAAACTCGTGAGGAGAAAGAAGAGGAAACCTCTCCTTCTAGTGGAAATGACTCCTCTTTTCTTGAAGATCAACAAGTTGTTACGAATCAACCAAATGATCGATTTCTGCCAGGTTCGTAGTTTTTTCTACTAGATACAGCTGTACTTGTTTTGTAATTATTTGTAAGTAAGAGGGTACTAAAACTTTAAATCAATAATTTGACAATAATGGGGTGAAATCACATTGACTTGGGTAAAGGATTGAAAATAACAACATTCACCCACATTTTAACCTTGTCGATCACTAATTAATCGTGTGATGCGTTTTAGTTTTGGATCCGATATACTTCACATTCTTATGGAAAGAAAACACATCTATACCTAGATTATCTTGAAAGATTTCTATTTAAAAGAATACATATTGTGAATCAATTTGACTGCATTATGGTTGATAAAACAGACCAAAAGGAGGTTAATTTTCCCCTCTATGTCAAGTCAATTGCATATAGTGAGTGATTTTGGCTATTTAATGAAGTAAAAGTATGTTTTCTTTCCTTGCATTATAGTACATTCTCTTAATTTATCAACCTTTCTTATGTATCTACAGTATGCTCATAGGGCATGTGTGCAGCGTTGGTGCAATGAAAAAGGAGACATAATGTGTGAGATTTGCTATGAGTTGAGTTCTAATTCTGGTTTCTTATTAATGTTTTTTTTGTTAATATTTTTAAGTCGATACACTGTGCAAGGATATTGCTAAAATTGGAATTGATTATAACCAGTTATTAATTTCATGATTTTCAGCCATACAAGCCAGATTATACTGCACCTCCTCGACCTAACCCAGATGAGACTACAATTGATATTAGGTATGTATGTATACTTGCTTGGCTTATCTTTTCAGTTAATATGTGATTTGGGCAATGTTTTCTCCTGACTAATAATATGATTATAAGATTCAATTATTCTTTTTGTATATTCGCAGTGGAGGTTGGACCATCATTGGTACTCCATTGGACTTGTGTGATCCTCGGATACTTGCTATGGCAGCAGAGCAGCGCCATTTTCTTGAAGCTGAGTACCATGAGTATGCTGCTACAAACGCCACTGGTACTACATTTTGCCGCTCAGCTGCTCTAATTGTAAGCCGTCAGTATTTTAGTTTTTTAGTCTATGAAGGAATTATTTCAGTTTGTTAAATGTTTATATTGAGGTGTAGATCCTTTGACATGTAGAACTTTAATTACTTTAGTACATATTTTTTTCTCTTTAAATTTCTTTATGGACTCATGGATGTTGAAGTGTCTTCCAAAATTTTAATGAATTAAACCATACAGTGTAACTTTAGGCCCTTTGAACACATCCTACCAATTGTTGTTGTTTATGTGTATTTTTCTCATTAGTTTTCTTTATTCAATGTCTTTAGTATCTTATGGAAATTGATGTGCGGCGTGTGCCTTGCAAATTTTTATGAATTAACCATACAGTGTAACTTATTAGGCACTTTGAACACATCCTAGCAACTTCTGTAGCTCTTAATGTTGTTTAACATTATCCTGTCAGCTACGTAGCGTAATTTTCTGGTAAGTGTGTGAAGCATGGCTTACATTAAGCATAACCCGTGCGGACTTGCTGAGACTAAAACATTGGACATTTAAAAGATCAAATGTGTATACCTGTGTTCTTTTATAAGATGTTATTTTTTTTACAAGGCACAAAAAGCCTATAGATGTTATAAAGTTGAAAATTAG